TTTTTTTTTACAGAAGGACTTCTTTCTTGAAGTTGACACTGATGAATTTTAATGGCTTACAAGTTTGAATTGACAAAATTACCAAAATAAAACTACATTCTACATCAGACGGCCCACATTTGTGTGTCATCATTGTGTGGTCATGTAAAGTGTAGTCGTGTTTTAGCTAATATTGACAACCCATCCTATAACCTTTAAAAGTACTTAAATTTGGCGGTCTGTTAGGATTCCCAGCACACTTTGTTTTTGCGCTGCTGCCCAAGATAATATAATATAATGTTTCACGTTTCTGGCCTGTGCATAGGACATTGCGCGTTGGTGCGGTTTGCCCAGGATGTACTCAGCTACAAAGGACTTTTCGATATCTGTCTCACTGCTCGAGTGACATGTTGGCGGTGTTGGTGGCTGATTGGAAGCTTGGTGGCGGTAACTTCGTGTTTTCGATTTGCCGCGGCGCTGTGTATCGTCCTTAGAGGTAGAACTTGAGGCTTCCTGCGCTTTCGCTTCGCTGCTGCCCTTGTCTTTTTTTTTGCTAGCTCTTCCTCCTGATTGAGATCTCATCGTTTTGCTGGTAGTTTCACTTTGAGATTTTAGACTTGACTTGGATGGGTTCTGTCCGCTTTTCGAACTGCTGCGTTGAAAGCAAGAAGAACTGCCTTTGGATTTCGTGTCCTCTTTTGCGGGTTCCTTCCTCTTTTGTGCTTGTGAAATTTGTTTTGGACACTGATTTTGCATGACTAGGTTTTCTAATTCATTATAGAGCGCTTCGCAGTATGAGAAGTTTGGTGGCATCTCTACTTGATGTGCTGTTTTCTTTCTGTTACCCTTCTGTCTTTGTATCGGGTCTTCACTTTGCCGGTCTTTAGATTTTTTCCGCGTACTAACGCTTGTACAGCATGACCAGAAGGATGACTGTGATTGGTTGTTTTTGGGTAGCGGCTTTGTTTGCTTCTCCTTCGTCCTGTCGTTAGTTCTTGCAGGCGTTTGCGTTCTTTCGTCGGGTGATACGCAGCATGAACAAAATGACTTTTGTGATGTTTTGCTGACTGACTTCTTGTTTTTGCTTTTAACGTCGCGTTCTTCCTTTTCTCTGCCCCTGCAACACGAACGGGTTGTTTGGGATGACGTCGGCTGGACTTTTGCTTTGTTTTGGGACTTTGTTGGTTTTCTCTTAGAGTCTTCCAATTTTTTCGGTTTATCCCTGCTACCACTTCCCCAGCAAGTTGTTTGAGATGATTTCCTATGTGGATCGGCAGACTTCGATGGTGTTTTGGACTTTAGACAGCACGACGTAGAGGACGACTTCTTCTGCACTTTTTCCCGACTGTCAGCTTTTGGCGGTTTCCTATTCGAATCAGCCGGTTTCTTTGGCTTTTTATTCTTGGGGCAACATGATGCAGTAGATGATTTCTTTTGAACTTTTTCTTGCTTTTGAGCTTTGAGTGGGGTTTCTTTGAAATCGTCTATCTTTTTATGTTCTTCCTTTCTACCGACTGAGCAACAAGATATGGTGGTTGGTTTCTTTTGCACTTTTTCTTGGCTCTTAACCTTTGGAGGAGTCTTTTTAGACTTATCTATGCTCCCCACAGGACAACACGAAGAAGTTGAAGAACCGTCTTTTTTCTTAGACTTATCCTTTTTACAGAACCAGCTACACAATGGCTTCTTTTTATAGCCATCGGCTTCATTTTTCTTATCATTTTTCCTAAATGAGCAACCCGACGATGTAGATGATTTCTTCTGAGGCTTTTCTTTATTTTCATCTAGCGGGCGCTTTTTGGACTTATCCTTATTGCCTTTGGAACAACACGAGGCTGCGGGAGATTTCTTTGGAACCATTTCCTGGCTTTTGGTTTTACTGTCCTTGTCATTTTTCTTTTTAGAATCCTTTGATTCATTTGGTTTATCTTTTGCTGCGAACGAGCAACAAGATGTAGTAAATTCTTTCTTCTTCGAGGGTTTCTTTTTCGAATCATCGTCCTGCTTGGTCTTATCTTTTTTACTAAATGAGCAACGCGAGGGCTTCTTTTTAGAATCATCAGTCTCCATTGGCTTGTCCTTTTTACCAAATGAGCAACAAGAGGTAGTGGATTGTTTGTTCTGGACGTTTCCAGTCGAAGCCTTCTTATCAGATTTTGCCTTGTCCTTCATGGGCTTCTGTTCGGACCCATCAGTCTTCTTTGTTTTATTCTTTGTTCCAAACGAGCAACAGGATGTAGGGGATTGTTTCCTCTGGACTTTTCTACTGGAAGGTTTCTTATCTACTTTTCCGTTGGCCTTATCCTTCAAAGATTTCTTTTTTGAATCATCGGCCGCCTTTGATTTATCTTTTGCTTCCAGCTTCCTGCTTTGCAGCTTCCTCTGAACGTCTTCATCTGATTTCTTTGACTTATATTTTTTACCGAATGAGCAACAAGAGGTAGTGGATTGTTGGACGTTTCCAGTCGAAGGCTTCTTATCAGATTTCACCTTGTCCTTCATGGGCTTCTGTTCGGACCCATCAGTCTTTTTTGCTTTATTCTTTGTTCCAAACGAGCAACAAGATGTAGTGGATTGTTTCCTTTGGACTTCTCTAGTGGAAGGTTTCTTATCTACTTTTCCGTTGGCCTTATCATTCAAAGGTTTCTTTTTT